ATTATATATATATATATATATATATATATATATATATATATATATATAAAATCACATTGCTGTATTTCAGAAATCTTATCAAATCATATAAATTTGTCTTTAAAATTAATTTCTTTCTTATATTAATGATCTGACTTTTTGAGAAGCATGATCACAAGTGGAGTAATTGTAATTTTTTAGTAATTGTAATTTAACTAAGTCAATGCGCGTCAACTAAGCTTTCAATGATGAACGATTAAAATCATTCAACCGCATTACGACGGGTATCACTTTTCGCAGCAATTTTTCGACATCTCGATAACTTTGTCGTCGGGAAATCATTCCGTTGTCTTATTTACACAGTTTGTTTTTCGATCGAACTTTATTCTACCAGCCGCGCAACTAAAACTAAAACTCGATAGGAAGTCGCAACGCCGAGGATCAATGCCGCGAGGCAAGCGATAGATATCTTCGCGGTATTTCGGTTTGCCCTATTAATATTTACAGTAAAACCGCCTACCACTCGACATGGCCGCGCACGACGATGGTCGGTTGCCGACCCACTCAATCTCCATCTTCTCGAGAGTTTCCACCCGTGGAAGGATGAGTCTGTACAAAAGTGATGAGCCGCGCGTAGGATATTACACGCGACCGCGCATGGATGCACATTCGAGAGATGCACACAGATGCACTTTCGTGGAGCACTATCTGCCGCGGCTACTTCACCGCGATGTGATATACGTTATCCTTAAATTTTCATATCCTAGCTTCGGGATGGACCCGACAACATCACCTGACGTCGGACGGCACGGATATCTCTCTTTCAGGGGATGCATGAGTGTGTATTGGTCGCCTGTGCGGGCGAAGACAGGGCGACGGAGAAGTCCGAGTCTAGCACGAGGTCGCTGATGCAGCCCACGATGCCCTTCGTGTACCTGCCGCCCGTTGTCCTCACGATGTCCGGCGCACCGCCTTCAGAACAAAATTGAATCCCCGTGAAAATATCTGTTTTATACGTACGGGAAGAAAATATGTGTGACCAGGAAAAATATGCCATTCTCTCTTTCTTCGCAAAAGTACAAGTATTAAACGTATAAGTATTATAATACCATTAAAAACTTTTAAAATTGTTCAACTATCAGTTCTGATTCTATGTTCAACAACTTTATTTTATTTTCTACGAGGATATAAAATAAATTTGTAAAAATTCTTCCAGAAACGACAATTAACGTTTCAGGATTATAAGTAAATTTAGATTTATAATATAAAAATAAATATAATGAATCTGGAATAAATATAAATAAATATAATAATAATAAATCTGATTACTTACCAACGTAAAGACCAGTATCGGTATTTAGTTGTCTCAGTTGCCCTGGGGAAGATGCTGAGACACCAGTACCACTATCTACTACAAGAGATGCCCATTGCTCGTTTCTAGAAAAAGTCAATGTTATTCATTGCTCTATGACCCATTTCGAACATAAACATTTTTCTTTTCTTCGTTTTTAGTTAAAAGCGATTTGCTTTGGAAAAAGATAGACATAGTTATTTTTTATTCCCTTTTGGCAAAATATAGGACAGTGCAAGTTAATACATGAATGTTTATTAAAAATATTCTTCCTTCATGAAATTTCATGGAAATAATACTATTTTAAATGGTAGCCTCAAGTCACAGAGCTATATGGAAAATTGAAAATAGAAAACAACATTTGCACACAATATTTTACTTCTATATATGGAAACTACATACGTACATTTTTTCTAATATTTTAATAAATCCATAATTCATTTCTGTACAGTTAAAATTGAATTATTTTATATCATTACAGTTTATATCATTAATCTTAATTTTTAACAATAATTTAATAACTATTTTCTAAATGATCGCATTCGTATTGAAATTAAATCTACCTGAATATACATATGTTTTGTCATGTTTTTAATTAACAATGTAAAACGATCGTACAATAATGATAATAATTTTCCCATATAGTTATAAACGCATCTCTCCGACGCCTCCTCCTTTTGTGTATCGATCAATACGTTAAATAAATAAATGTTATGAAAATAGGCGCGCACAAGCGGAAGGGGTTGGGTAACGAAGCATGTAAAACGTTTGTTCTCACCTAACGGCCCTGATACGATGCCACAGATCGTCATCCAATCGCGTGAGATTATACCGCAGCACGGCTTCCCCGGAACCCAAATTATACGCGAGAGTGAGATAACCGTGATCCAGGCCGAGGGCGAGGAAATCATCGTTCTCATCCCTTTGTTCTTGAGGATCCGACTGGCGGCCGCTCCACAGCAGCAGGCCGCTGCTGCTGCTGGCGCGGAATCTCATATTGATGTCTACCCTGTAGCTAATTATCCTGTAAACATCAAGAAGAAGAACGGTTGTAATTTGCAAAAGAAAAAGCGTAAAGCAAAGGTCGCGAGAAAAGGTCGATCTGCAGAAAAATAATTTAATTTTGCAATATCAATTTTAATTTGTATTATCAATATATTTTATATTGTAATTTCTAATTATATTCTAATATTCTATATCTATTTTATATTTTAATTTATTCTATATAATAAACTTATATTTACATACTCTTTATGTCACGCCAACGAAAGACGCTGTACGGGAAGTTGGATAACTCGTTTCGTCAAAGTGATTAGGCAATTAAATTAAATTAAGGAGTTATCTGATAAAAAAAAAATAAATTATTTTTCTTTAGATCGCTCACTTGCGCGCTCACCTGAACGTTCGATAAACTAACGCAGCGCGATTAAAGCGGGTCAAGGAGCGATTGTGTAGTGCAACGTGTAACGCTGTTTACCGCTCACTCGCTTTTCAAATGCCGACGACATGTCGCTTTGACATTTACCGAACTTTTGCGTATTGCCGATTATTTTGCATCTGCATTAATAGAGTGTTAATAGACGAGTGAACAGGATTTTTTAATTACAAAAACGTGTCGCCAACACGTTCGACGAAATCATGGGAATGGAAGATGTATTAGTCGAAATGTATAAGTACGCGCTCATGCAGAAAGTATTTTATAAAGCGTGATAGCAAATGTCACAATAATGGACGAAGAGAATAATTTTCCTGACAAATTTATAGAAATTTGGCTAGCAGATTTGAAAATAATTTTATTAGGTCATCAAAATTATTATGTAGAATACATAAACAATATTGTTACAACAAATTTTGCATCTTCTTCCAGCAATCTTTGAGCAATCAATTTTGAACATACATAATAATTTTAAAATAATTTTCAACAAAATTGCAATTTTCAAATCTGACCAAATTTTTAGATTTGCCAGCAAAAGTGTTCTTTTTAGGTAAAAATTTTTAAGATATTCAGAAAAGAAAGAAGATTCTTTATCCGTGAAAATAAAGAACGATTATAATATAATTATAAAATTAATATTAATAATTATAACGACATATCTTGACATATCTGAAATACAATGGATATCAGGAGAACTCGTTACTGACTATTTATCACTTGTTATTTTCATATATGGACCTTTTCATTGTGTCGGCATCGTTATAATGTAGGTAGCTCTCGCTGCCGGTGAAGCTGGGCACAGCCCTTTCGTATCTCACAGACGCTATGGCGTTGTTGCTGGCTCTTGCCGGCGGCGGGACCAGCGGGGTATAATCGTCTGGTGCAGGACAAGGGTGTGGTACACCTGGACGGCACCGACAGGTAAATCGCTCGCGAAGGGGCCGGCATTCTGCATCCCCGCAAGGCCTGGCTTCGCAAGCGTGCCCACAATTTCCTACGTTCACCCCGCCCAGCGCTTCCGCCAGGATACCCACCTACGACAAGAATTATAACAGTTAGAGGCAAAAATAATAGCATGAGTGACATTAATCGTCTCTGGTTAGAATAATGCCTGAAGGCAAACGTATGCGTACTAATTGAGGTATTTTAATTTTAAAAAAATTCAATAGTTTCACAGTTCAAAAAAATAATTAAAATTTTTAACCCCTTCTTTTATTCACCTCTTTCGTATGGGTTGTAAAAAAAAATATAAAAAATTTAGAACTACATGGTTCGACCAATTTCCAGCTAATTTGTTTCGTATTAGATTACTCTTTGATCTCTTTGAGTGTTTTTTTGTGAAACTCGGAACTGTGCCGCTTTCTACGAGTTTAGCCTAGTGCATTTTAATGTAAAATTTACATCAAATTGTTGTTATTATTATTATTTTTTGCTTTCCCATACTAGTAATTCCTTGAACTTATAATAATACATTTACGTTTACCTTACGTCTAATTCACCTCAATTCATTTTAAATGAAATGCTAAAAATGACAGAGATTCAAATCTAAATGATTCAAGAGGGAATTTCCATGTCTTATCTATCAGACCAGCAAGGCTCAAACTCTGAAGCATTCCGACAGTGGCATTATCTATCGCGCAAGTTCGGAACAGCCTGTATAATCCCAGTGTTCTTACCTCGCGATTATTCAGCACGATCGTCTGAATGCAGCCGACGAAGCTGGCCGTAGTTTTCATCTTCGGCGAGTACATGTCGGAGGACGGTGCGCCGCCCAAATAGAGGTTCAGCGGTAAGGATAATTGCGTGAACGCTCCGGGCGCCAGGATTTCCTGGGCCGGATCGTCCTCAATTTCTAGGGATGCCAAACGACCCGTCCTGGAAACCCGAACCTCGACCCACTCGCCAAGACGAACCGGATTTTCGCTTCTGAAAGACAGATTATCACAGTGAAAACGCATCATTAATCTTTGAAAGGCCAGAGAGTATTTTGATTTGGAAACCTTTTGGAACATTTTGCCGTATTTGTATGTATGTGTGTCTGTGCGTACGTGCGTTTGTGCATTAGAGAAAAAAGAAAGTTTTTTTAATTAAGCTCCAAACCCCCGTACGAATGGGTACGCCCAAATTATGCACTTGCGTCATAATAATAAAGCGTGATTTCCTAATCTGTAATCTGTTTTTTTGGATTGTTTTAAACCATTTAGAGATGAAATAAAGTAATCACCAAAATGGCGTAGATTAGTTTTATATTAATTAACAATTATATTATATAAGGAAATTCTTTTAAATATCTTCTCACTAACGAATGTGTTTTTTAATACTTTCTCAATAAAAGATTATGCGAATCAGATAAAGAGAAATATATAATATATATGTAATTATTTTTTCATTAATATATACATTTTCTTGTAAATTATAATTTCCATGTTATTATTTATAGTAAACATATTCAAATTTTTACTTTATTCTTTTCTTATCTTCTCCTTGTTATAAGAATCTTGAGCAAACAAATGAAGTACAGCATAAGAGATGATACGATCCTTCTAACTTGGCAAAGTATGACATAAGGTTCTCGAAGTATATCCGAGGTTGGAGAGGAGAGACGATGTTCTATCCTTTTTTTTACGGATTTTCCGAACAATTTAATTTTTTTTTCGAAAATAAAGCTTCATACGAGAATAAATTTATGTCGTATCACCTATTTATTCCCTCGTGAAAAAAATCAATCTTCCCGCGATTTTACATCAACCTCGCGGATCCCTATATCGCATATTTTTATATCGCGTCTCTTCGGCTGAAAAAGTTAACGTTGAAAAACATTCCGCTCGGAGCAACTTCCGTACTTCCGTCGAAATGAAGTAAGCTCGTAAAAACACGTTAGCGTTGGAAAAAAAAAACGGAGCGCGAGGATTCGCGCATTGGAAAATTGAAACGGCACCTTCCGTCCGCGGTGTCCGTGCGAAGCAATTAACGCGCGGACACCGCTCTCCTCGTCACGTCTACAATTATAATCGACGTTAATTCGATATTGACGGACGCTCCATCGATTTGATTTTTCGGAACGACGCCCCGGGAGGCCGCGTCAGCCAGTCAGCCAGGCAGCTCGGGAGTTTTCTTCCAAAGAACGGAAGAACGAACGCGAGAACGAAAATTCGCGCACGTAACCGCGGAAACTTTACGCGCGCGCGCGGCCGCAAAGTCAGATCATTCAATTTGAATTTCGCGAAGAAAGTCGGCGCGTGTTTCCGTAGACAATGGATTCCTCCCTTGTAGGTGGGGGACTGGCACTTTTTTCCCAAAAGAGTACGGTTGAAGAAATTCTTGCATAATTAATGCCGAATCGCGAGGGAAGGACAGAGATAAAGGGATGGGGAGGGAGGCTGGGGAAGAGGAGGTTCGCGGGATCGTAAGTGGGAAGTAAATTGCTAATTAATAAAAGAACGAGATGGAGAAATTTTCATATTGGGCTTTTCGCTCGGCACTATTATGATAAAAGATACGGCGCGCTTGGAACTTCGAGACTCGCCTGTTAACCGCTTCTTTTTTCCAGACACGGGGTTAAATATTCTTGTTTAATGGCGCACGTAATAATGCACGTTTTTTTTTTACGTCGGAGTTTCATAGCGGTCGTTTTTTTTACTTAGGAGAAAGGAGATATATTTTTGCATAAGATTTTATTGTCTAGCGGACTGAATTATAAATAGTGTAAATGTTTCTGCATACAATTAGAAAACTGTCATTAAAATATATGATAAAATATATGATTAAAATATACTATACTATACAGATCATTCACATATGCGTTTTATTTATTTATAATGTAGAATAAAAATTATTAATTATATTATGCTTATATTAAAATATATATTGATAAAATAAATAATGTTAACATCTAAATCTTTCAATATATATTTTAATCATTTCTGATTAACAGTATTAATAGTTTTTTATCTTTTAAGCAATGTTTTCTTATAGTTTTTAATCTTACTTTTTATTAAATTTTAACGAAACTTTGTCTTAACTTAAAATTGGAAACTGCTTCTAACATGTTTCTAACATTTAATAAGTTGTTTAGTTGCTAAAATTTAATCTTTGAAAATTAGAAACTTTCGATATAATCTCTCCCAATATTTTAGAAACTACTAAGAAAATCAATCAAAAGTTTATGAAATGAATAGAATTTTGCAAATTATATAATGATAATATAGTCTTTATATAATAATGTATAATAATAATAATAGTAATAATTTTTGTAACAATATAAACTGAATACTTGCTATATGATGTTATATTACAAAGCATTGTTCCTTCCAACAAATTTAATGTAATATTTGTATCTTTTTAGATTATCAATTTATTTAAAATTTTATTTGATTGCAAAGTATAGATGGATATTCCAATATTCAGATTTTATTCAATGGAATAGGAAGTAGTTTGATATTCAAGCTGTCAGAAGAACGTGAATGCGAGTATTTCGTCGTCAATTTATTTTCACAAGCGTATTCTTGAATACTTTATATAAATAATATAAATGATCATCTGCTATATTTTTGAAAATCATTTCGTATTATTTATTTTTGATTAAAAATTTGAGGTAAAAAGATCTTTGGTAACAAAAATATAGTTCTTATAAAATATTCCGTTTTTTTAAATAATACTTTTTTCAGACCTAACAAGACGTTTATATTCGATTTAAATATATATATGTATATATACATATATTTGTTCTCCACATATGCTTCTAATTTTTCAATACTAATACTAATTTTAAAACATAAAGCTTTTTTCGATAAAAAACCTCCAAATTTTGTAATTTTGTATTACACAATCTTAACTATCATCTTTGATTATAACTAAAAAGTTTTAACACTTCCATTAATACTATTAGAAAATTTATTAGATATTGGCAATATTTATTTAAGAGAGTATACATTAAGAGAGTATAATTGTTAATTTCGATCAATTTTACTTAATAATAATTCCGCTCGTTAATACGTTCATTATTACGACAAATTTAATCATACAATCCGATTAGCATTAACGTGCCATCTATTGCAAAATATCTCGAAAAGGACAATCGATTAAAAAATATAATAGCCGGAGTGCAACCGTTTGTTATTTTCAGCGTTTATCCAGGAAAACAGTCACAGCTCTGCGAAACAATTTTGCTTAACAATAATTCGATCATTAGTTGTTAATTAGCACAACAAATTAAATCAACTCGAATAATCAACGTATTAAAATTCTCCGCGCAAAAACAACAGCACAACAGAAGGCCCAGTTGTTTCATGAATGCGATATCGATACCGCGTGTCGGTTTAATTATCTGATGCATACGCAAACGATGCAATTAGCGATCCCATCGCCGATGTTGCGTTGCACGTCGCGCCGTGTGAGTAACCGAGAGTCTATCGTAAAACGAACAGCTTCGAGGGGGTGGATTGTCACCCCGAGCTAGTCGTCGCGCTCGGCGGAACCGTTTGCAGAAACTTCGTCGAAGGCCATCGGCTTACCTCAAAGTGGCAGGTCCTGTTCCGAGGTCGAAGGTGAACTGCACGTGGCCCGAGGAGAGATAGAGAGCAATAAAGTCACCGGTAGCGTCGCTGTGATGGCCGTTGTAGAGTATCACGCCGTCCGGCGCGGTCGGTTTTAACGTGACGGACAATTCCAACCACGACAGCGACGTGTCCGCCAATCCTGGATAACGTAGGTAAGAGGATCCGTTGAAGGATGGAACCTGCGGGAATAAAACACCGTTGCGGTCTGAGATTGCATGGAAATGTCGTTACCGGGCAAATGCATTCCCACCCTTTTTGCCTCCCACCCTTAATCGCCTGCCATTGTGGAGACCGCCGGCGAACGCCGCTCGTATTTGTTATGTTTCGTGCCTTTTAAGTGGTAGTAGAATGGCATAAAAGAACACAGGACGTCCCTCATGCCTGGCAAGCTATCTATCTTCGACCAATCCGCGCCAATTTTTTTTCTTTATCCAGATCATCAATTGTCACGAATTTTTGACATCTACCAACGCGAAATATTTTCATTATCTATTCTTAAAGTTCTTCAGTTAATTGAAAATAAAAATTTCGATTTAGAATTAAATTAAACTTACGGCTGTGAAGGATATAATTTTTAGAAAAATATTTTATTCATTCATGATTTTCATAACAATTCTAAATTTAGTTCTTTTAATATTTTTCTTTAAGATGGCAAATTGATTAAAGATATCGAAAGCGACTTGTAAAATATTCTGTACTATTAACCTAGAATTATCAAAATAAAGAATTCATTTCTCACATAAAGTGCGATCGATTTTATCTATAAAATTAAATTTTAAATCAAATATTCAAATATTCGCCTTTTATTCCCTCAATAATTTTTAGTACAATTTAAAAAATGAGAGAAGAGAAAGTATAAAAAAGTATATGTAGAAAGAGAATATATAAAGAAATAGATAATTAGGAGAGATTTGGTTATTTTTTTCATAATATATAATCTTTAAGTCTTTTAAATATACAGTCTTTCCATTTTCTTAATTAAATTTGGAAATATAATGTTAACAGATATTTCTCTTGTGATAATGTCTTGGGTATGAAACGTTAATGTCATACCAACTCGCGTGTACCTACTCTAAATGATAACGTAAATTTAAGTAGGAAATTGCCATGATAATTCATAACTACTTTCTTGAGAGTGAGAGACTTTAACGTTTATTGTATTCCTAAGTATGATATTCCAAAAGGAACTATTATATTATAATAACCAAACTATTCATGAACTTGACATTTTATTATTAAAAAGTAAAAAGTAATACTTTATATATAACAATTTTTTCAGAAAGAAATATTTTAGTAAATTCAAAATAATCTGGTTTTAATTTGTTATAAATATTGTTGTAAATATAAATATTATAAATATTGTTATAAATATTATGTTTTATTTTGAAGAAATATTCATTTAGATGAGAAAACTGATAAGTATTTTCACTCAAATATCAAATGTCTGAACAAATATCTATCATATTATAGATGCGATTAATTATTTTTGCAGCAATTAATTTTCTACATTGATATACTATTCTATTCAGTTAGCTTTTGACATATACTTTCCATTAAGGAATTATTTTTCTTATTCTGTATTTTTGCTACATTAATAAAAAATATATAAAAAGAAAAACAGTTTTTATTATCTTAAGTGCTACTTTTCTTTTTTTTTTTTGTCTATAATCAAAGTCGCTTTTTACAGACAGATGAATAGTAGTTTCTTTATTCACAATTTTAACATCGTGATAGATTTAAGGAACATATTTCTTGTTATTATAGACGCACATGTTTACTCATACACACATATATATATATATATATATATATATATATATATATACATACACGTTGCCCTTGCGGGAACTGTAATAATTCTTCTCGTCGTCAAGCGTAAAGTAGAGAAACTCTCGGAACAGCTGTTGTTATTTAATTTACGGCCGGCGCGGGATTTTGTGCTTTTCGTAAATCGAAATGCAAATATGTTGTATGTCACTGTCTCGGATAATCCTTAATATAGGTGCATTCACAAGTGCCTTAAGAGGTCGAAGCAGGTTGCTTCCTTCCGTCTTAATGAGTCTGACTGGTAATTGTTTGTACGTCAGTTACTTCTCAAGATAAAACGCAAAGCATGAACGCCCGTGCAGGATCCTTCAATGTATACCCTGACGTTTCGTGAAATTCAAAATGGAGACTATTAATATGTACACATGAATATTATATTTAGAAAATATGAGACCGAGCGATTCTCTCTTTTGACAATTTTACGGTTTTTATGGTTTTTTTTTTTATTTTAACTTGACTCTCTTATATTCTTTATATCTTTTTTATCTTTGATAAAAAATGAACAAATGAACAAAAATATGCCAAGCTATGTCGAGAAAAAGGAGAAAGCATGTATTATTCTTTTTCATGTTATTAAATATGCTGCTAATATGCGCTGATAAGTTCTCAATTAAATATTGAACTAGAATGGCAGGGGGGGAAGCTTTTGACACATCTAATCTCTCTTTGATTATGGAGCTACTTAATTATACATATACATTCGTAATGGTTTGTGCGAGAAGCTTTTCAATGTGAATATCTCAACGATTATCTTATAGAATAAGAACTCATGCTTTTCGCACTTGAACAAAATATGTTTATCTTCAGAACAAGAATTTTTTGGAAAACAAAGGAATATAGCACATTTTTAAGATATTATTCATTTGTTAAATAAATTAAGAAAATTAAGATCATTAATTTATTTTTAGAAATTCATCTAATTCAACGAAATTCTTCTTTCGCACAATCAAAAACTATTTGTTTTTTATTATTTATGTCAGGAGAGCATAGCATCATAGCTTTTTATAAATTATAAGCACATTATGCATAAATCACATTACGAATATTATTTTTTCCGTCTATCTTTCCTTGGCACTTATTCGATTTCTTTGCTCGGACGATCCTTTGGTGTACTTTTCGTCAAGTCGCCGAGGGAGACGGTGAGAAATTCGAAAAATCAAAAGAGAGCGAAAGCGCGGACTGTCCCTTCAAAGTACGGCGCGAGAGGCGGCGTAAATTAATTACGAAAAAAACGGAAGGAATCCTGACGGCGCCGTATTAAGTCGGGCGGGATATCCTCCTTTAAGAAATTTCTAGCCAACCTGCCTATGTGCTCGTTGGCCTTCTTTTCCTTTTCCCGCTCCCCGTAAAAGCTACGTCCCGGTGATAAGGAGCTCCCGCGGGAGAGCCAGGAGAGAAGTAACCTTGTATTATGCGAAAGACCAGCAACTCGTAAGATTCCCTCGGGGAACACCCTTTCTCACCGCTTACGACATCGTCCTTCTGTTTGGGTTATGTCGTCCTGATGTTCAGTCTACGGCCCGCAAAGACCGTTGACTGTGATAGGTTCACGAATTTTTTACGAGACCGTTTTGAAACGCCGCATTACATTATCGAGCACATTATGTGCCGACAAGCGATCCGCTATTACAAACGCCATTGAAACTAAATATTGTTTTACCGTTTGATCTTTCAGAATAATTCTTGTTTGTTTTCATTCTGTTCGCGGATGACAATGCTTTCGCTTGCGTCTAGCAAATTGATATTTTATAATTATGTTACGTATTTATTTTCAATATATATATATATATATATATTATATATATATATATA